GAGAAAGAATAAACTAGTTTTATTTAAGAAAGGACTTGTATCGCTGAACTTTCTCAGGAAGAATTTCTACGGGAAATTAACAAACGAACAGAGACGTAACAGTACGTATATATATATATACGTAAAACGATATTTTAATTATTTTTAACCTTCAAGTATAAGTTTAACAAAGCAGTAAAGTTTAGTCTGTATATACGAGTTTACGTTATACAGATTATTAAGTTGCATTTACCTTTAATGACATTCCTCTTACAAAAATCAGTTGTTATATTGGGTATATACGAGCTTTATTTACTTATATCGAGTTACGATATGATATTGTTACGACAGTGGAAGTCGCGCGACGCTGGGAACATGCGCTGGAGTTCTAGAAAGATCGAGGAACCTGTCGAACGTTCTAGCGTTTGCTAGATGCGCGCTTTTATTGTATATAAGCCGGCAAATAAAGTGACGGCGATAACTGAATTGCTCACAGGCAGAGACAGAAACGGACAATTGAGTCAAGAGCGTGAATCGTTGTGAATTATAGTGTGTGTGTGTTTAAGTTAAAGTGACTGTTGAAATTAAGTGTATTGCAAAGTTGTATTGAGAAAGAATAATCTAGTTTTCTTTAAGAAAGGACTTGTATCGCTAAAGTTTCGTCCGAAAGAAATTATACGGGAAATTAACAAACGACCAGAGACGTAACAATATTTATATCACAGGGAAGTTTTGACACTTATTCCCCACATACTCCAAATTCCCAGCCACATTTCACTATTCTACTAATTCACGTTCATCATTATATCTGGTTCATTTTGTTCTCTAATCAGCTGTGTTCTCGGTTCCAGGTGGTATTTGGTTAATTAATTGTGTTTTGAAGCTATATATAAACCTCGTCAATTTATTTGTTGTATATACTGAGCAAAAGTGCTGAGAAGATGGCTTGAATTTTAGATTAAAACAGGTTTTCCAGCAGGGTTTTCAAGAGTCCATAATGCTTTATGAGAAAATCAATATTATCATAATTTTAGTTAGTGTTATTAAGTTCTTAATTAAGTTATTTTCATGTTAAATACTTCATATCTAAAGAAGAACTTTAACAAGTAAGGCTTATGAGGAAAACTGTTTTAATTAGTTTTGTTTATGTAGAAGTTGAAAAAAAAATCAGTAATAATTTACACTCTTTAAGTAGGTCCTGCTTATGCAAATTTGTAAAATGACACAATAAAAAAGAGTTTTGCATTTTCAGTTTTGGTTTCCATATCTTCAGCTATAAAACACTAATATTTATAAGTTCCTTAAGATAGTTTGCTGAATTTCGTGCAAAGCTACTCGAGGGTTATCTGCATTAGTCGTCCCTAATTTTGAAATGATAGGCTATAGAAAGTAGACCGATAGCAAGCACCACACACACCGCCAATTCTTGTAATACTCCATATCAACGAAAAGTGGGATTTACGAACACATTATGACGTCCCTATGACTGAAAGGGTATGTGCGTTCGATGATGGGATTCGAATTCGAGACCCACCAGGGCTTTTACTATAGACGTCGCTAGGTGCTTAAGAGATTCGGGGATCGGGTCCATAGGCGCGGGAATTTTCGGCGTTTTAGTATGATATTGCCCATGTTTCTTCTATTCTGGTTTTTCAAGACTTCAACTGGGGACTGGGGGCACAGACCCGTGTACCAATACGTAGCGACGCCTCTGTCTTTTCCTAAGATTTAGCAAAATATATATGCCTAAATATTTGATGATATATTAAAAATCTAAAATACATTTATCATTAAAAAAGTAATTATAATTAAACCTTCTTCTTTGGATTTTATATAGTGATATAGGTTATGAATCTTTCTCATATGTTGTAGCTCCCATTGGCACATCAGTAAGTCTGAAGGCTTACAACACTAAAAACCGGGCTTTGTTACCCTTAGTGTGCACATTACAGATAGCCCATTTTGTAACCTTGAGCTAAAAAAGAAACAAACAAAAACCTATTATTTTATTGAAAAAATCATACACTTTTGTAAAAAAGAAGAGAGATTGGAAAAAATTTTAAATAAAATTATCCTACAGAGGTTGCGCACATTGTATTAGAAATACTTTGGAAGCCTCATCATGTCCTGTCATACTCTGTCTGATGGCCATGCAGCATAGTTTCTATTGCAAAAGTCTCCGCCGTAAGACTTTCATGT